TGTGTGCGCGACAGAGCCGCTTCCCGCCAGTCCCCGCTGCTCCGTCGCGCCCGCGCCCCCGGCGCCGCGCTCACCATCCTTGATTCGGCTCGGCTTCTTCTTCCTGTGGGTCCTGAGGCTCCGACTGAGGCGGTGGCTACCCTCTCGGCGATGCGGGCTCGTGCTCACGTCGGCGCCATTTTCCGCCTCCCAGCTATCGCGAGATTGGGGGCGGGGCCTGCGTCAGGCGCGCCTCGAGGGGGCGGGGCTTGAGTCGGGGCGCCTCTTGGACCGCGGTGTGCACGCCAGTGTCAGTTTGCTAGTTGAGGGCGATCGCGGAGCGTACTTTCGATAGAGTCCGTGCGCAGAGATCCGGCCTGAGGAATCTTTCCGGGCCTCGGTGCCCTAGTCTGCAAAATGGGCACCTTCATGTCCTCTGGCCCTAAACATCGGTTCTCCTTCTTGATTGGGCCGCCTCTTTGGCGGGAGATTGGCCAGAGTCTTCAGCATTTTCAGTGCACCTAGTTCTGTGGTTGTAACAGCCAAGAGCCGGGAAATAAACTAATTGTCCAGTCTCAGGCTTAATAAAGGACTGTAGCTTCAGGGTGAAGAGGTGTGCTTCCCAAAGGCGGGATGCCGAGTCCTGTGTGTACTGGGGTGGAATGGGTCTCCTGTCCGTCCTACGTTCCTTGAGCGCCTACTGCGTGCTAGGCACCGTTCTAGACACTGGGGACCTAGAGGTGAACCGGATGCATGTCAATCCCAGCCCTCGGAGCACCCTCACATTTTAAAATGAGGAAACAGACAATAAATTGATAAATGCAAAAAGCAATTCAGTGCAATGGAGAAAACAAAACAAAACATGAGATAGTAATGGGGTCAAGAGCAGCCTCCCTACCCCTCCCTCTCCTCCTCCTTCTCCTCCTTCCTCCCCTCTCTTCTCCTCCCCTCCTGTTTTATTCTCTCTCTCTCTCTCACACTCTCTCACTCTCTCTGTAGAGACGGGCTCTCACTGTTTTGCCCAGGCTGGTCTCAGACTCCTGACCTCAAGAATCTTCCTGCCTCTGCCTCCTGAAGTGCTGGGATTATGGGCATGAGCCACTGCACCTGGTCTAGAAAGCCTCTCTGAGAAGGTGACTTTTGAGCTGAAGACGACCTGATGATCAAGGAGTGAGCCAGTGGAAGCCCCAGGACCAGAGCACTCTAGTGGATAGCTGGTGCAAATGTGCTGGGGTGCAGAGGGGCGAGTTTACCTTTGTGAAGGAGCAATGAGGAGATCGGCAGAGGTGACCAGTGGAGGTCAGAAAGCGAATACGGTGCAGGGGAGAGCATGCAGGGTCATGTGAGTGACAGAGGAGTGTAGTTTCTGTAGAAACTACTGATGAATTTTTAACAGGGGCAAGTACACCATCTGATCCCTGGTGGTCGTTTGGAGGATGGGTTGTTCAGAGGAAGGTAAAGTTGATCTCAGATCTTAGATCTCTATAATACATTAATCAGCCAAGAGGTGTTTGCTGAGGTCTAGACATGTGTCGACTTTATGTGCAATGTATTTCTGTGTACAAAACAAGATGTAGCCAGGCTCGGTGGCTCAGCCTGTAATCTCAGCGCTTTGGGAGGCTGAAGTGAGTGGATTGCCTGAGCCCGCGGGTTCGAGACCCGCCTGGGCAACTTGGCAAGCCCTCATCTCTACAATAAACCTAAAATTAGGCCGGACTCGGTGGCTCAGCCTGTAATCCCGCACCTTTGGGAGGCTGAGGTGAGTGGATTGCCAGAGTCTGCGGGTTCGAGACCCGCCTGGGCGGGCGAGACCTCATCTCTACAATAAATCAAAAAATTAGCCGGGCGTGGCAGTGTGCGCCTGTAGTTCCAGCTACTCGGAAGGCTGAGGCGGAAGGATCGCCGGAGCCCAGCAGGTCGAGGCTGCAATGGTTGGGAGTGGCCACTGCACTCCAGTCTGGGCGACAGAGTGAGACTCTAACTCAAAAAAAAAAAAAAAAAAAAAAAGATGTGCGTATGTACTTTTATATACAGAGAATATCTTTGGAAGGTGACATTAAAAAACTGGGAGGGGGCCGGGTGCAGTGGCTCATGTCTGTAATCTCAGCTCTTTGGGAGGCCAAGGCAGGAGGGTTGCTGGAGCCCAGGAGTTAAAAACCTACCTGAGCAACATAACAAGGTCCTGTCTCTGCCAAAAATAAAGAATTAGCCGGGCATGGTCACACGTGCCTATAGTTCCAGCTACTGGGGAGGCTGCGGTGGGAGGATCCCCTGAGCCCATGAGGTCGAGATTGTGCCACTGCACTCCAGCCTGGGCCACAGAGTGAGACCCCAACTCAAACCAAACAAAACAAACCAAAACAAAAAAGCAAACAAGGAGGGGAACAGGGATTTTCAAGAGGAAGACAGACTGACTTTTCATATTTTTTGTGCTATTTGAATTGAAATGTTTTCATTTAATGATCCTTCATTCAGTTAAAAACTAATTTGCTGTAAAAAACAAAGCTCATTTTGAAGCAAGGTGGCGAGGTGTGTGTGTATGCAGGGGAGGCTGGTGCAATCTGGGGACGGATGGGGACAGGGACCAGAGGAAGAGAGAGGAGGCACCGGACATAAGACATTTTGTAAGCAAGACAACAGGATGTGGCCCCGAGGAGCGGGTGGGGCGGGGGGGGGGGGTGGCAAGGCGACTGAGGTTTGCAGTCGAGATGCTCATAGCCTAGATAGGAAAACCTGTTTGTTAGAAAATGCTAAACCCTTACATGAATGGCCCCAGGGACATAGAGAGTGAAATAATATACACTGGAGATTTGGAGGGTGGGAAGACAGGCAGGGTGAGGGTGAGAAGTTACTTAATGTCACACTATGCGTTATTCGAGTAATGGTTACACTCAAAGTCCAGACTTCCACTACACAATATATCAGTGTAACAGAACTGCTTTCATATCCCCTTTTTGAGTCAGGGTCTAGTTCTGGCCCCAAGCTGGAGTGCAGTGGCATGATTACAGCTCAACGCAGCCTCGACCTCCTGGGCTCAGGTGATCCTCCAGCCTTAGCCTCCTGAGTATCTGGGACTCCAGATGTGTGCCACCACACCCGAGCTGTTCCACTAGCTGGAGGAATCTCTGGAGGGAAGAGAGCTTTAGTTGGGCTTTCACTTTGTCGCCCAGGACGGAGTTCAATGGCACGATCACTGCTCACCGCAGCCTCTAATTCCTGGGCTCAGGTGATCCTTTCATCTCAGCCTCCCAATCTTTAGGGTCAGACATCATAGCAGGACTCCCTGCCGGGACCCTGGAATGCTCAGGCTCTAGCTGGAAGTCAGGGTCCTCACATGTCAGAACTGGTTCTGACCACAGGTAGGTAAAGGCTAAGAGGGCACAGACACGGGATTTGGTGCAGGGGCCAGAGTGACCCTGGGTGGATCGCGGCGGGGGGGGGGGGGGGGGGGG